GGGGATGCAGGGAGAGGGGAGGGAGGGTCAGAGGGTAGGGGTGATGCCCTGTGGGCAGGGTCCAGGAAAGTTCCAGTGTGTGGGGGTGCAGCCCGCTTAGCAGCCTGAGAGGAGCGTGGATGAGGGCTGGTGCCCCCTTGGCCCACCTGGGGCTCAGGGCCCTAGAGCGGAAGGCTGTCTGTGTGCTGTCACCTTGCACTCAGTGGGCAGGACTAGAGTGGACGCGGGGCATCGGGCAGGAAGAGGGGCTGGTCCCTGAGCCTGTGTGGACCCCTTCGCTGGCAGTCCAAGCAATCGAGGCTGGGAGGACATTGCCCCTCTCTGTGCCCCATCACCTGTTGTAGGGTCTCTGCTTGGGGGTTCTCTGGCCCTGGCTGGGTGAGGTCACGGGGGGTGTGTGTGTGTGTGTGTGTGTGTGTGTGTGGAGATTGCATCCTGTCTTTATAAAACGCGGCTTCTAGCCCACATTCCTGTGTCTTCCGGAAGTAAGTTTCAGTCCTACTGTTCAGACGTCTTGGGGGTGACCCCACCTGGCCGTCCCTGTCGCGGATGGGAGGTGTGTCCCTGTGCTGTCTGGGATGGCCCCACCCAGACGCTCACCTGGCCCTGGCTCACCTGGCCTCTCTGTGCAGGTGTTCGGCCACGGGAAGGCCAACGGGGAGCCCACCTGGGCCCTGCTGCTGACGGCCCTCATCTGTGAGATCGGCATTCTCATTGCATCGCTGGACAGTGTGGCGCCCATCCTGTCCATGTGAGCACGGGGGCTGGGGCGAGGGCACGGGGGCTGGGGCGAGGGCACGGGGGAGGGCGTCCGGGACCTCCGCCTGCTCCATTCACGCCCCTTCACCCCCAGGTTCTTCCTCATGTGCTACATGTTCGTGAACCTGGCCTGCGCCGTGCAGACCCTGCTGCGTACCCCCAACTGGCGGCCACGTTTCAAGTACTACCACTGGTACGTGCTGGGCTGGGGCACGCACACATGTGACCTCCAGTGTGAGGGGTACAGTCCGTGCGGCTTCCTGGATAGCTCATGTACCACTGGTACGTGCTGGGCTTGGACACGCACACACCCATGACCTCCAGGGTGAGGGATGTGGTCCATGTGGCTTCCTGGATAGCTCATATACCACTGGTACACGCTGGGCTTGGACACGCACACACCTGTGACCTCCAGGGTGAGGGGTACGGTCTGTGCGGCTTCCTGGATAGCTCATGTACCACTGGTACACGCTAGGCTTGGACACACAAACATACACACACCCGTGACCTCCAGGGTGAGGGCTGTGGTCCGTGCGGCTTTCTGGATAGCTTACGTACACCTGCTCTTTGGGTCATGATGGGCTCGGAGGAACTCGTCCTGGGAGGGCGGCAATGGACAGGGACCCCGGGGTGGTTCCAGAAAATTGTAGGGAGTTTCTGGCCGTTCTGTGAAGCCAGGGCTGGAGCTCATGGTATGGTTGTCTGTCTGGCCCCACGGCCCACGGACACTGTGCTCAAGGCAGACCCCCTGCTGTCAGGGAGCACTGCTCTGGGCCCCTTGGTCTCATGCTCCCTGGAGACCCTTGGCAGGACTGGTGCTGAGTGGGTGGGATGGGGAGCTGTGGGCTGCGCTGGCACGGGGGGTGGGTGGGGGAGTAGGGGTGGGGAGCCAGGGCCAAAGTTTGTCTCTTTTTGAACTTGTTATCGTGGTTTGGGTGAAAGTTCGTCGAGGAGATTGATCGCCATCTAGCAGTTGGTACGCGTTTGTTCCTGATGTCGGTTTCATCCCGGCACCGTGGCAGCACTCCCCACGTCCCCCTGTGGTCACCATTTTCCTTCCTGCCCTTCCTGCCTCTGAGCAGTGTCCCTGCGCAAACGCTGTCTTTGGACCGCACGTGATTGGTTGTTCTAAGGACCCCGTGCCTCCCTGGTTTAGTGGTTCTTATGTAGGTCTGTGGTTTGCCTGGAAGTTGAGGCCTGGTTCAGACCAGGCTTGCAGGGTGACTAAGGGCTGTGGTCGTGGGGGCTCCACCAGTCTCTGTCAGATGAGTAAGTCTGGTCGTCTTAGGATGCTGACTTTCGTTCCACATTTTTCTCCCCCTCTAGCCAGGACCTGCTCTTACGATTCTTTTCAGAGTGGCGGGCAGTGGTAGCCAGGCACTCCCTTCTAATCGCAGGGTCACAGAGTGGGTCCACGTGACCTCCTGGTGTCTGGAACAGACCGTTCCCACGTGTCATCCCCTTCGCTCCTTTGCTGTGGACGAGCAGGGCCGGTAGCTGCCCCTCAGATCGTTGTTCACAAGCTTTTAAGACCCGTTCAGTCACTGCTTATTGAAGTGGGCGCAGAGCAGTGTCACTGTGGGCTGTGTGGTGCCAGTTGACCTTAGTGTCCC